ATTTGTGACAGTTTCGATTTCTTTCTCAATAAATAGCTGGTGATTTACTAAGACTAAGAGGCAAAAAGCGGGAAAGTAATGAAATATATGTCAGTAGCGAAATAAACACCATTGCAAACAGATGACTAACAAAGCAACTTGGTTCCATCCAGATACATAAAATCACTAACACTGTCTCTCATTTTACTCACCACCAACCAGAGTCAACTTAGGTGGCATCTAAATAATTAAGTGCCATCTATCAAACTAGAGCTCACCAACCACAGACCATTTAAATAGCTTATTTGCCTACTATGACTCACAATTGTCGAGAAAAAGTCAATCCACTTGCATTGGAAGGGGGCTGGGGAGGGGGTGGTCCACACAGGTGCCACTTTTTTTTTAAATTTATAATGAGGGGCGGCATTTTTGGCGAGCTGAAGAGGTTTTTTGGGGGGGGTTTTTTGTTGTTTTTTTACAACTTAGTGGTAGTGGGTGGCACGACTTTCTAGTGAACATATCGCAACATAACCCATGGTCCGCTCGAAACTTTTCCCAGATCTGCTCATTATGAGGACACTTTACAAATAACCCAACGCTTGGACATTGGTCGCTCTCTCAGTCTCTGTTGTTGGTGGATTTCTTTTACGTAGCCGAGTCTCTTACTTCGCACCTTTTTTTGCCCATGCACCGTTTCCCTGGTCTGGTCTGCTGATTACCAAAGTCATTCTCTGATACACTAAAGTAATACGTCGGCATAGCCTCCACGGCCTTGCCATGTTTCTGTTTACTGTTTAGTAAGGCTGTGGGCAGCAACGCAGTCGCCACGGCTTACCCGTGTTTACTTAAGCAGATTTCTGATCGTTAATGCTGCATAAACTTTATGGTTTGTGTCCGCTGAGGTGGCCGCGCAAATGAACGCAGGACAAGTAAACCCAAAACTCACCACATCCAAACACAGAACTAGTGAACCTTAGTCCATTTAGCCCAAATGACATTGTGTACATGAAAAAGAAGGATTGCCCTAATTATGTCTTTGAAATGTTACAGATTTCTCATTGCAAAATAGGTTTGGTGCATTCAAATAAAAGTAATCACAGGCAGAAGATGCAAAAGAAGACTAACACAGACTATATCACAAGGCTTATTACATGATATTCATGGACAAAAAGAATAAGACTCATATGAAAGGAACAAATCAATAATTTTCTTGTTTCAACATTGTGTCTCTATGTGAATTGTAACATGATTAGTGTTAAATTTGATACAGTATTTAATTAGATTTTATAATGGAGTGATCACTAGAGAGTTTTCTGGGGCTCATACAAAAAAAACTGTTAATATGCTTTTGGACAAAATAAAGAAAAGTTACAACTGTCAATATTCATCTCATCACTAGAACTCACAGAACTTACAATTTTCCTGCAATTACAAGACTAAGAATTGCATTTTCAGAATATTAATTCTGATTTCTTCGACACACCAAATCCTCCTAGCTTTCAAACCAGCCATTCCTCTAACAACTCCTTCCCTTTTTACATAATCCTGCCCAAACATGCTTTTGAACACTTCTCAAACAAGTTAAACCATTCATTTCAAAATTTAGAATGATCTTTCCCTCTGATTTTGTTTGTTTGTTTTGTTTTTTGCGTTGCTTTATCAAACGGTGTATCACCTATTCACATGACTAGGAGTAGGTACTTTGACAGAAATTTTCAGTATTGTCATATTGCCGTAAATGATTCATCATTTTAAAGGGCTAGCTATAAGCTTTGTAAAACCACCAATTTCATCTTTCTAGCTTTTATAGAAATGAAGTTATGATTTTTTGTGTGACTTTTTTATAACCCATATTTATCTTTGTATTTAACTCTGAAAACTTGTGACCAACTTTCCGAATTTCTGCCTTATTTAGCCCACAACTTTTTTATTTTAAAAGATAATGCTACCAAATTGTCAGGAGACATTCTCAGTGCAATATGCAACACAACGAAACTTTTACATAACATTAAGTCTTTGAATTTTTGATAATTTTTTTGCGTTTTTGTTAGAAAAAACATAAACAGAAAAATTGGAGAAATCATGATTTTGAAAAGGAAAAACAAAAAATAACGCGTTTATTTATATTTTAGTGAATTATATTTTTCAGTTAAATTTTAAATCAATTATTATATTTATAAAAGCTAAGTAGATTTCTTTTTAAAATAAAATTGAATGCATGAGATTATAAATAAAAACTACTAATATCACCCATCAAACTAATTACAAGGATACCCGTACCGGGGTATGTCATTAAATTTTGAAAGGTAATGGGGATCTTCTGCCTGCCATTTGACTTCTTTGTCTTGTTGATGAATCCCACAAACCTCTCCTTCATAAACTTTGTCGCCCCCATCTGCATCCAAACGTTCGGCTTTATTGGATATGGAAGGAATTCCAAGTTTGCAACAGAATGTTAAAATTTTCTCTTGCGCCCAAAAGAAGCCTAACATTAAATACTAATCATAATTCTTAATCTATAAAATTTTTAGTTTCTTTTTAATATTATTCAAGTGATGTTTTTATTAAATTTCTTTTTTTTTTTTTTTTTTTCCTTTATTTAATTAGAAATATATAAAATTTACACAGAAATTTGTTGATATAAATGCTAAAATTTTCTTTATGCCTCTGTCCTAGTTTAATATAATTACTATGATGATGTTGAGTCTTATTTATTTATTTTAATAAACTTGTTATAGACTAATTCATAAATTATATAATTTTAAACAAGTCACAGTGACGCAATTTTCACAAAAATATTAGAAAGAAAAATTTTAATTTTAGACTTAGAAGTGTACCGTACCAGAATGCATAACCATATTTTATTGGAATTAAAATTGATAATATTATAATTTTAATAGTAGTAGAAACTGCTTTTATTGTGTTATTATTACATTAATTATAATTTATAAATAAAACTAAAAAGTAGCCCTATGCCCTATTATCTTACTACTAATACCGTACTAGGAGGTTTTTTGCCATGCCATAGCTTACTTTTGTTTTCATATTCTTGTATCAATTAATAAACAAATAAACGACTTATGATAAAACTTATTTAAAATTGTTTTGGTTCATTGAAACAATACACTAATTACATTTATTTTCCTATTTTATTAATATTTCTCATTTTAATAATATTTTTTATACACCAGTATTTATCAGCATGTTTATGAATTTAGTGACACCTTGGATTTGCGTTTGTTATGTAAACAGGAAACATAACTCGTGCCACCTAAGAAAAAACTAAAAGTCAAAGTGGAACTTGATTTTTCATAAATAGCACAAAGAATAAAGAGTTTGCACATTATCTGGGAAAATGAGCATAGTCGTTGGTAATTTTAAAATGTTGACAACGTCTTTTTCTTAATTAATTAATTAATTAAATCACAAAAATGCTACTGCTACATTCAAAATCGTTAGACTGTAGACACTGTAGAGTGAAGTCGAAGTGGATATCGGCGAAATATCGGATAGCAGCGGCTCTGTGGTGGTCTTGTAAGACGCACTATTTACGATTTAAATTAAAAATATTGGAAAAGGAAAAAAAAAAAAAAAAGAATATTGGCAATTAATGGCAAAAATCATGCAATAGGATATCGGCGAAATATCGGATAGCAGCGGCTCTGTGGTGGTCTTGTAAGACGCACTATTTACGATTTAAAATAAAAATATTGGAAAAGGAAAAAAAAAAAAAAGAATATTGGCAATTAATGGCAAAAATCATGCAATTAAATGTGATTTTAAAAAGTAACTAGTTACTAATTTGAAATATTTGTTGTACTGACCATGACAATAAAATGATTTTCACAATTCAATGACATCAGTCCAGTTACTGTCACTGTTACAATTACTTATTACTTACTTAGTTTTACTGTCACATCAATGATAATAATCATTTTGTTATGTGGATGATCATAAGGCAAGGCTCATAGGCCTAAATGGTTATGACAATGTGATTGTCAACTCCAGTTCATCGTTCATCAACAAAGTTCAGTTAACCTTTTTTTTTTTAAAAAAAATACTAATGACTAATACATGATTTATTTATGGAATCCATATATGTTTGAAGATTTTTATTTATTTATTACTACGGAAGTTGGCTGTTGATTCACATTAATCATTTGCTCATTTGCAAATAACTTCCAGATTTATTAAATCAACATATGATTTTCAAATTATATTATAACAATTCACTTGCAAATTTCCATAAATTATTAAATAATTCATTGACCTTACTCTTACAATAATAGTACCATAATTAAAATATGAACAAATCCAAATAACCTCCTCGTTGTTAGTAGAGGTGCATGACATGTTCCAAAATTTTTATTTTTTTGTTTAAAATGTATTTCAGGAGGTGGTACTGGATTTATTGGCCGTCAGTTAGCAAGACTTGGTCAAAGCAAAGGTTTCAAAGTTATTTCTGTCTCCAGAAAAGCTGGCCCAAACCGTTTGACATGGGTAATTATAAGATAGATACAAATCTTTTAAAGCTGTGCAAGCATGCCTGTAAATTCTGACAGATTGGTGAACAAATTAATATAGGCTGCCCTTACTTTGAGGAAGGATTTTCATTGATCATGCTGATCTTAAGTAGCTCTAATGTAGTGGGCTTGATGTACTGTCTAAAATTTTATTTTTACTAATGACAAATGAATTTTGATATTCTTTCCACAATTTTTAAAATTAAATTTATAACATGATATTAATTGCTTTCTTTATAATTTTATTTAAATTTAAATATTTGAAATTATGTATTTCAAAACAAGAATTTTTTTTTTTTTAACATGAGACCCCCAGCCTTATATATCTTAAAGCTTTGCAAGCATCAATTCATTGACTCGTATGTACTCACACAGTAAACATTCTACTTTTCAGAATGACATTAGTCGAAATGGTCTGCCAGAGGACTGTGTGGCTGTTGTCAGCATGTCTGGTGAACCCATCCTTCAGCCTTTCAAAAAGTAATTTTTACAGAGTTGTTTTAAGAACACTTGAGGGATATTTAATTTCTGGCTAAGCCAAGTTTTCATTGACAAATTTAAAAAAAAAAAATATTTTTTAATGTTAATAAAATTTTTATAGATGTTCAATTACACAACAGTTCACATTTTCATTACTTTGTCGTAAGTATATTTTGGGATATGCCAACGGGTCTGTCCAGCCTGTAATTATATTTCATATTTCAGGTGGACTGATGACTTCAAATCTCAGTTGAAAGAAAGCAGGGTGGAAAAAACAAAACTGTTGTGTCAGGCCATTTGCTCATCATCAAAACCACCCAAAGCTTTTGTTTCTTTATCCGGAGTGGGTAAGTGCAGTTAGCAGGGTGTCACTGTTCTGGAAATGTAAATTAAACAAGGCTGTATTCTGTATTAAAATTGCTGTGAACGCAGACCAATTTCATATCTGTTATTATATACCACCACATCACAGACTTGTACAGTCACAGATTTGAGCAAAAACTACAAAAATCGGAACCTAATTCCTAATAATAACTTTGACATATAACTGCTTTTTAAAAAAAAAATAAAAAAATATTCAATCTCCATTATACACTGTGATGATGTTTTGTGAATACTAATGCTTTTTGTTACCCTCTCTTCAATTAAAACTTATTTGTTGTTACAGAAGGATCATCTTGTGTTGTAGAAATAATTTAATGAAATATAATACTTGATAATGGCTGTTTTTTTAGATGTGGCTCCGTTTCATCTTGTATCATGTTTAAGGTTATTACAAGCCTGACCCAAACAAAGAATACACAGAGAGCGACGTCGTTGAGCCCTTTGACTTTCTTTCACAACTTACCAAAGAATGGGAAGCAGCAGCCAAATTACCAGCTCAAGTCCCCACCAGATCTGTCATTGTTAGAACTGGTGAGATATGTTAGTCAGGATGTAAACAGTGAATAACAATACCAAAAACAAAGAAAAGAAAAAAGACTATTTTAAAAAAAAATGGATAAATCTTCATAGTCGAAAACCGTTGAGAGTGCAAGTTGTCTCCCTTGTGTCAGGTTTAGTTTATGAAGTTTCATTCTTTTTTGCTTTATTTTTGAGTGAAGGATAGCATCTCCTATAACTACATTTTAATTTTATCTATCTTTTCATGTCAAATTGCACATATTAAACATTTTCGTTGCTTACCTTCTTCAGCTCTATCACTTAATATTAATCAAATCTCCTTTAAAACATTCAAAGAGATTAATTAATGATCACATGGGTTGTAAACTATAGAACAAAAAAAACATTAATTTCTTTGATAGTTAACATACATGTTTTATTAAACTTACTGGAGTAGTGGTTGTAAAATATAGAAGAAAGAAATTTCATTTATGTGACAGTTAATATACACATTCTATTTAACTTACAGGAGTCGTGGTTGGAAAAGAAGGCGGAGTTATCCAAAACATTAAAACTCCTTTCTCACTCGGCCTGGGTGGGCCGATCGGCTCAGGCAAACAGTGGTTTCCATGGATACACGTAGAGGACATGGCAGGTATCATACTCCATGCTGTGGAAAACGACAGGGTCTCCGGCATCCTGAACGGCACCGCCCCCAACCCCGTCCGCAGCGGGGAATTCACCAAGGCGTACGCCTCGGCTCTGTTCAGACCTCATCTCATCCCGCTCCCAAGCTTTGCCGTCAATGCAATGTTCGGCCAGGAAGGTGGCACCATATTGTTGGAAGGCCAAAAAGTCTTGCCTAAGAGAACATTAGAAGCGGGGTACAAGTTCAAATACCCTACAATAGAGCTGGCATGCAAACAAGTTGCTTCGTAAACTACTACACTACACACATAGAAACAGTTTGAGCGAATGCCATTTAAATTTATTTTTCTGTGTTATGGTGCTTCTGTTTGAAAACGTAACACTTTTTACGTTGCATTAGTGGTAGGTGTTATTATGTGTAATATAATCTTGTGTTTATGGTCTGTGACTGAGTATTAGAATGGATTTTTAAGGGTTTAAATTCATGAATTATATGTCTCCTACTTGATACTATCATAATGATAAAAAGGATCATGATTATCTCAAATTGAAACTCTCATATTGATAAAATTATCATGATTATCTGAAATTGATACTGTTATATTGATGAAAAGTATCATGATCATCTCAAATTGATAAGGTACTATCAATTAATTAAAAATAATCAAGAACATGTCAAATTGATACTATCATATTGATTAAAATGATCAAGAACATCTCAAATTAATAATCTAATCTTCCCAATCCTCATCTAAACCTTGAAACAATTTTGAAGATTGTGTAACTATGTATCCAAACTGAGTGAAGTTGATAAACCTGTTACCTCATCAATGCATAAAAATGTAAACAAGAAAAGAATACTCACGCACTGACCATGTCTAATGCTGACTTTAATTTATTGGAATAATTTCCACTGATGACTAAATGTAAGCATTTTTTTGACAAGCTTTTCTTTTAAATAGAGGATTCTTCAGTGTGAACTCTGATGCTTTATGCCCCCCCACCTACCCATCACATTTACCCTAACCCTGTCATATTCAAAGTTTCACAAAGTCATAGCTGGCATGTCATGAAGTATAGTGACAAGGCTTCATAAAGTCCAGCTCCCATGTTAAGAATAGTGATTAGGCTAGAAGATCAATAATTGATCTAATGTAAAACTATTAAAAAAATAATTTGGGATAGAAAGAACAAACAACTTTGTTAGTAGACTAACTATCTATCAACAACTGTTGGTTGATCAGTTGTATTTATAAAACGTCAACTGGTTGTTGTGTTGATGTTTTTTTTTATGTAATTGTTTTAATTTCTGCTGACATAAAAATTCAAATTTTTTACTGTGTAAACACAGGTCTGCAATTTTAAAATTTATTTTGCTGGCATCCGTCCATCACAATATGACGATGGTGAAGACTTCGCAAGACGAAATCCACAAGGCCTGGAATTATTCTTCTAGGATTATAAGCTGGTTCCCAACGGCAAATGGCCTCTCTCCACGCCGCTGGATAACCCTAGGGAGCATCATGTGGAGGATACAGCTTGGCACCAGTGGCGTCGCAGGAGTTGTCGGAATGTTTCATTGTACCAATGTTATCCACCTACGGGACTCCATCTCGGGGTTTTGAATTCATAGTTTCCTTCTCTTAGATGAGTTGCCATCCAAGGTTAATGAGTCCCAGCCACCTGTATGTTTTTTTACAATGTTGAATTTTTTTGATGTATGAAGCTTGAGGATCTGTATTGTATATTTCTTGTAAGGTACAACTTTATCCTAGGCCTTTCATTTTAATCCTAGGCCGTTACTGGAGTTTTATTTTAGTTTTTTGCAGAATTGTTGTTATTTTCCATGACTAACAAATAGCATTTGTATGGAGAATAATATTCAAGTTTTATTTTGTAGAGAGTTTGCCTTAAGCAAAGTGTTTGGAAAATCTGTACATTGTATTGTAAACATTGTACTGTAAACATTGTATTGTAAACATTGTATTGTAAACATTGTATTGTAAACATTGTACTGTAAACATTGTATTGTAAACATTGTATTGTAAACATTGTACTGTAAACATTGTACTGTAAACATTGTATTGTAAACATTGTATTGTAAACATTGAAGAAACGTTCTAATTCACTGCTCAAACTAAAATAAAGTGAGAAATTTTGCAAAAGTTTATGCCCAGCTATTGTTCTAAAATAATTAATTAATTTTATTGATAGATTAGTTGATAGATTAGTTGAATGTATTCATTTTGGGGGCTTGGATAAAATAGGTTACAGCACATACTCATTTTAAAGCCCTTACATTTGTTACCCCCAAAATGAGGATGGGAAAAATCCTGAACAGTTTATAACGAGTTCATAGCCTGAGCCCATGAAATAAAAAGCCAGTGTAATCATTATGGTGCTGGGTACCAAAAATAAACACTGATGCCATTATGCTTTGCTAATAACAGCTGGATGATGAAAGGGTCTGGGATCTACTTATGGCAAGTTTGTTCTTATGCCTCTGTTGACGAATTCAAACCTTGTAAAGTGTATATAGACTTGGACCTCAGCAATCTACAATAACAATGACATTATTCAATGTACATAGAATTTTTTTTTTTTAAATCACATTTTGAACAACTCATCCTCATATGCAGACACCCCAGATATTCCTCTAATTTGTAATTATGGAAATCAAGGGTGGTGGGGGAAAATGAGTGGCATCCAGTTTCATCCAAGTTAATTTGTGCGCCAGTAGCACAAACATTGGGTTGGGGGGGGGGGGGTAAGGGTTGCATGCCACGGCTCGAACTAGGTCAACACACAGGCTATAACAGTCTGTAACCCGTAAACTTCCTCAACAAAAAAAAATGAAACATAAGTTGTTTTTTTTCCCAAAAGCTGAAAGGACCATTAACTTTCTTATATTTCCAATGTCTTATTATTGAAATATCCTTATATGTTACATTATCCCTATAACCTGAGAAGGTTCTTAAAAAGAAAAAAAAAATCACTGATCTTTATGTCTTAGCAAATCACTTTCTTAAGACATCAGTTCACGTTGTATCCACTGTGTCTCTGATTTCTAAATCACGCAAAACAAGAAGCTTCCTCATCCGGTTTCCTCTAACAAATCTTTGTCATCCTTTGTTTAGAGCAGTGGTTTCTAACGTCTTTTACTGGCTGAGACTAATTCTTAGAATCAGTTTCAATGGGGAAAGCCCTTTAACCTTGCCTTATGTCTTAAAAGTTAACAGTGTTTAGGCTTAGCGTTACGATTTGGGGGAGGGGGAGGGGGGAAGCGACTGTGGTGCCTCTGAAAAACGCACACGTAGCCCGTAGGCTTAGGTTTGGAACCACTGGTTACAGTAATTAAAATTGTAAACTAATACGTGATTTTTTTAGGCCCGTATCTCAAAACTCTTTAAAAAGAAAAAAAAAAAAAAATTTAAAAAAAATTGAAATTTGTTAAAAAATTCCTTAATTAACGTTAAAATTAAATTTTTTTTAAAAATCTATACCCTAATTACCTTTTCAAACTAGTTAAGATAACGGTCAGAAACCTTTCTTAAGAATTAAAAGAGATTTGATTGCCTTTATTATAATAATTGAAAAAGGACACGCCCCGGATATTAAAGGAACCCTTTTTATTTTTTAAATTTATAGCGAAAGTCTATTTTTGTAAGGACGTCGTCCCACACAGTATCCACGTTTCCACTAAAGGTGTACCAAGACTCCTCTAGCTCGGACACAACATATCGGATGGTAGGCCTACAACATTTCAGACAAGTTTTAATGTTTGTTTGTTGGCCGGAAAAAAAAGGCTTTTGTCGAAACGTCCGTTTGGTTTGTTGCGTCCCTTTTAGCCTTCAGGTTTTACCCACCCCTGTTACACACATTTCCCCCCCATCTCTCTAAAGCTGATTGCAGTCTCTCTCTCTCCCCTTATTATCACTTATGCTAACTGGCGTGAACAGGCCACTTGACTCCTGAGGGTAAGGTGGCCATTCGTACTGTTTATGCCGGTAGTTACTTTTTGTTGTTGTTAACATTAGACCTGGAAAGGCGTGAGTTGTAGCCAGTACAGTTAAATTTTTGAAAGATGAGTTCATCTTATATTAGATATCCAGGCATACAAATATAAAACAACAAAATGCATGCATGCTTCATCCACATTAACTTCACTATATTATTTTTTTGTAACAGAAGGACGCCCCACCCTCTGAGTACCCACAAATAATTGTTTTATTTTTGGGCAACCACAATTTTTTGTTTTAATGTCCTGGTTTTAAATTTACTGGTTTCAAATGCCCTGGTTTCAAATGCCCTGGTTTTAAATGCCCTGGTTGTAAATTTCCCGGTTCTAAATGTAAAATTTATAAATTGTCCTGTTTTTAATTTTGAAAACAAATAGTCACCCTGCTTGAGGGAATCTTTCCAGGGAGCTAATCCAAGATCAAAGTGTTTTCACCGGATGTAAAAAAGGAGCTAATGACAGACAGTGTTGCCCAGGAGGGGTCTGGGGGGACTTGCATTAAAAGACAAATACTGTCAAATGCCACCCGTTGATGTCTCCGGTGCTAGGTTATGACGGGTTGCTTTGTTTCACGTCTGCTACTGTTTGTATAATCGATACAAACTGGGTCTAAGTAATAAAATGATTTGTAGAATATTACCAATGTTGTTTTTTTTTTGTTTCTTTTTTAATAGCTTTAGTATTCCAATGTTGAATTTTCTTTGCTATGGATTGAATCCTTTCATACGCTAGTGCTATTTCTCTCTCCACCTCTCTCTCTCTCTCTCTCTCTCTCTCTCTCTCTTTCTCTCTCTCTCTTTCTCTCTCTCTCTCTCTCTCTCTCTCTCTCTCTCTCTCTCTCTCTCTCTCTCTCTCTCTCTCTCTCTTTCTCTCTCTCTCTCTCTCTCTCTCTCTCTCTCTTTCTCTCTCTCTCTCTCTC